GTGACTTTGATCTTCCCCTTGAGAAGGCAAAACAGCTGAATAAGAACACGTGCATGTGTGAGTATGCGCTGTAAATATAGAAAGATAATTTTTTCCCTTGACCTCTAATAATGATTTGGTAAAAAAGAAAAAGTTCAAGGTGCTAAAAAAAAACCTTGATAGTATTGTTTAATCAACATATATTTCTAAGTAGTTGTTGATTTTTCTGAGATAAGCTTTTGGTGGGTTAATCATTTTTCAGAATTGAAGAGCTAAGCTTTTGTGTGTATTTACATATCGCTTTCGCAGTAAAATATTTGCCCACAGGCCAGACCAAGAATTGTGATAAAGAATAAGACTGCAGTTTCAGGCCTCTGTTATCATGAAGTGTGTAGTATCTGTAAATTCTGTATGAGTCATTTTTTGGTCCTGTTTAAATAAGCTTGTTCAAATTCACCCTTAACTGGTGGTGTAAATCCACCCTAAATTACTGTGTAAGTATTTGCTAACTGGATTTCTCATAAATATAGCTTCCTGGAAGCTTTCTCAACATGGATAGCATCACTCAGAGTTAATGCTGACGTGGTGATCCTTTCTTTCCCTTTAGTGAGAAGTGCATTTCACCCTCCAGAGACTGAGTTTAATTTTCTCACTTTCACATTACACTACAACTTTTTTCCTGAAAAAAAGTAGGTGGAGAATCCGAAGTGAAGCTTGCAGTGCAACACTTTAGAATTGTTAGTTTTGCCATGAGAAGGAAGGGAAAAGTTTCTAGTTGGTAGGGCTACCCAGTGAGGTTGTCTTATGGATTTTTAACAACATCGAAATGCTCCCTGCCTTTTTTGCCTGTTCACATGCCTTTTCTGTCTGCAAAGAGCAAGACTGTAAAATTATCTGGGTTCACTAAAAGTGAAAATTATGAATATGAACATAGTAGGTACTTCCTCCAGTCTGAAAGAGTGTAACCATTCCGCCAGCATTTCCTGTAAACTGATCCCATTTGATACACAGTGGTGCCCCGCATAGCGATGATAATCCATGCAGCAAAAATCACTGCAAAGCGATTTCGTCGCTATGTGGTTTAAAAAAGCCCATAGGAATGCATTAAAACCCCTTCAATGTGTTCCTATGGGCTGTAAACTCACCTTTAAGTGAAAATCCTCCATACGGCCGCCATTTTCGCTGCCCGGTAAGCGAGGATTCCAGGCGAAAACACAGCGGGCGGCCATTTTTTTAACCCGGCGGCCATTTTGGAACCGCCAATCAGCTGTTGGGAAATCATCGCTATGCGATGATCGGTATGCGAAACGGTACCGATCATCGCAAAGCGATTTTTCCCTATCTAAATCATCACAATGCGATCGCAAAAGCAATCGCAAAAAATCGTCGCTATGCGGATTCGTCGTTAAATGAGGTGCCCGTTAAGCGAGGCACCACTGTACTGTAATATAATTTAAGAGATTAAGTCATACTGTGGACTCAGCATACAGTGCTGGGTGGTATCTTCCTGTCAAATGGGGAAACAGAAAGTAAAACAAGCATGTTTTTTAAGAATTGATAGAACATGTGTTCATACCTTGAAAACCAGTAAGTTAGAAGTGGATAGTTTCCCAGAATTCAAAGTGGTTTGTTCTTCATGGATTGATTGATTCACTAGACAATGGGTTATACACTGTGGTAGAGTATTTCTTTGCATATAGGAGGTCCAAGTTTTAATCTCTGATATTTATTGGTACAGTAGATCTGGAAATAACTCCTATCTGGAAATCTAGAGAGTCACAAAGTATAGACCAGGCTTGTCCAACCTGCGGCCCGAGGGCCACATGCGGCCCAGGTCAGCTCGTAATGCGGCCCAGTGAAATTTTTTATTTTTAAAGAAATTCCAAAGTTTCAAGTTACACTGCTGCCATTTGCGGCCGGAATGTGGCCGGGGCATGTCACAACAGTAGAGGGGGAGAGAGGGAAGGAAGGAGTGGGAGGGGAGGGGACGGGGGGCTGCGTGACTGCATTGCGCCGTCCAGGTCAATAGATGGACCCCTTTCCAGCCCCATAAAGCCGCTGGAGTCAAAGCTGGCAGCCTCTGCTGTCTGAGATCGCAGTTGCCGGCAAGCGCGCTTGGAGCGGGGCTGCGGAGGACGGCTAGGGCTGCCCCCCCATACAGCCCAAACCAAATGTATGTGTGGCCCAAACCAAATTTTCATCTTCTAATGTGGCCCAGGGAAGGTGAAAGGTTGGACACACCTGGTATAGACCGTCATTAAGCACCTTGTCATCCTCCAGGTTTTATTGGACTGCAGCTCCCGTTAACCATAGCCAAACTGGTTTGGGGCACCACAGATTGCTCAACCTCTTCCTCCATTATAACACAAAAGTCAACTTGTAGATTCAGCCCCTGAAAAATCATTTGCCCTTTAGAAAGGAATCATATCCTTACTTCCAGGAAGAAAACTAATTTTTATTAGAGAAATGCACTGAGATGGGAGAGACAAGGGCCAGTGTGGTGTAATAGGTGGAAAGACAGGTTCAGATTCAGAAGACTGGAGTTCAGATTGCTGCTTGGCCATGAAAACTCAGTTGGGAGAGTAGTAATGGCAATATCTGACATATAGAAATCCTGTAAGGTTCACTATCTCAGATGCTCCAAGTCCAAAATCTGTTTGGCTATGTGCCTTGTGAATAGGAATTGTTGCAATTTGCAGCGAGAATCAAGAGAGAAATATGAGAAGAAAAGGAAGCGACGTCAGCCACCCCAAGAATATAATTCTAGATTAGAAAAAGGTCAGCATAGGTCAGAGCAAATAATGGACAGTCTAAAGAACTTGGAATCCTTCTCTCTATACATATTCCTCCTCAAACAAAAACACTCATTTTCTTTGGTCTAAGTTGACATCCACCCAGTCACCTCCAACAAACTATCCTGAACAAAACCAATCAGTGCTTTGATTTTTTCCCACATAGCCTCCTCTTTTCCTACTTTCTTCAAATTCTCTTTCAAGACATTCTGTAATTAATCTCAGAGCCCAGCATATAATTTTTTTTCCATTCCTTTGTGTTGTTTTTTTTTCCTTTGCAGGTAACCCATACCCATTAATAATTATTCCTCAAAAACTGGTTGGGCTTAATTATACTTCTCCCCACAGTCTGACTAAGGAGAAACTCATCGAAATGCATGTCCTAGGATGACTTTAAAAAGTTGCCTATGTAGCTACAGCTATAGAAGACTATTATGCCAATCATATATACAATACTGTATATCCGAAAACCTCTAAAAGAAAAAAAATCCATATCATGAGGAAGGGAACACAATTTGTGAAAGATACATTTTCTGAACATATCCTGCAATATTCAGATTTTCACATATATCTTTTCTCCCCCTGAAAGTATGACCTTTTAATTTTTTTAATTTTGGGCACACTGTTGATCTGTTGGTCATCTTATATATTTCTTAGTAAGGAATTTTCCAGAACTGTAAAGCAGCTACAGTGTCACTGGCATACTTTGCATTAACTTCAAACAAATTAATATGTTAGTGTACAAAATTGTTCAGGCTTGCATGCTAACTACATAAATGTCAGAAACAGAAAGATGGAAAAAGCATACGCTTAGCATGTGATCAGATGGCAACGTAGGCGTACATTTGGGACTGCTTGTGACATGGTCCAGTCAGAACTGTTTTCCGGCAAGGAAACAACCTACAAGAAATTGGGAATTGGATCATATATGCAAGAAAGGTTGCTGTAAAGGAGATCCCAGTCAGCAAATCAGTCATTTCCAGCATGATTCAGCTCCAGCCAGCTTCCCTATCTGATTGCACCACAAGTATGCGTAGTGGTCTTTATGAAGACTAGAAATCCTAGCTGGAGGGGGAAAAAGTCACAAAACTAGTCCAGAACTATTGAGTTTTGATTTCAGAAGAGCACAGGATAACCCAAAGTCTGGAGTAACACTTAGAAGGAACTCTAGATCCACCATTGTACAAACTTTCTGTGCATTAGTCTTATGCCTGACATTTAACCTATAGTACTATGTGTCTATGTTAGAACCCCAAAGTACAGTTTGTAATGATGATTGTTTATACACCCAGCTATACATATCAACAGCATTTATACATGAATAATGAGAAATGGCTCCCATTTCTACATTGGCAGAAATCATCTGTATGTGTTATGCTTAGGCGGAGTTGTTGCACTTCAGTCAGTTGTTATTTCTTAACATGTGAAGCCTTCTATGTACTGTATCATCAAGGCTGAATAGTCACTGAAGGCTCACAGAATGTACACTTTATTGAGACATTTTGAGGAGAGCTTCTGTTTTCCATCTCCATCATTCCCCGTGGTAGTTCTGGACTTCCTGATTCACTGTGAGGTTTGGAAATGGGGAGACTGTGTGACTTGTGGCCGTAATAACTGCCATTCTATTTGAAATGGGAACGGTCAACTCTACCAGTTCTATTTCATGTGATCTTTTTCATAATACATTCCTCTGGATTTTTACTGCACGGAAGGCTCATTTAATCATAAAATGTAAACAGGAAATCATTCTCATATGCTATGGGTTGTGACCTCGTCCTGTCGGTAGAATCTACAACAAGCTGAAACAAAGTTGTGGATGTTGCTGATTTTTGAGAAACTTGACCAACAGCCTTGAAGCAAAGTCGGTAGGTAGCTGAGGAGAAAACACAAGCAGCGGTGTGCAGTGTGATGGGATCGGAGGCTTGGAATGCTGTCGGCTGATTGAAGCAAAGACACAAACTTGCCAGTCAGGAACTGAAAGATGGGAGGAATAGAAAGCCCTGATGATATTTGTGAGAAAAAATAAGAACCTGAGCGCAGGAAAATAAACCTCTAGCCTCCGAACATTTCTCCTGACTGAATTCCCAGCTGTTCCAATTTGGGGTTTTCTTCTGGTGCTGTGAAATTTTTCCAGGAGTCCTTTACTCGTTGGGTCATACCTCAAGTGTGTGTATCTGTCTGTGCTGTGTTTTCCTGTGTCTTGATGAGTTCTTTGGTTCTGTCTTGCAGCCCTCAGAATCCAAGCCCAACGTCACCCCTTTCACCGTCTTGGCCTATGTTCTCCGCACCATCCAGCCCTATGCCCACCTCCTCAACGTCCAGCGACTCATCCCCCATCAGGTCTGTTGCAGGTTTGAGGGTTTTTGTTTTGCTTGGTTTTGTTGCACGGCTGCTGCCATATTTTACGTTTACATGCTTCTTTTCTCCCTGCCTTGCTCAAAGTTCCTCACTTTGCTCCAGCCTGTTTTCGAAAGTAGACATCACGATTCCTCAGCTGCCATCCAGCATCACAAAAGGAAACTTTTAAACATTCCGTGTCCTCCCTACAGGAGCAACTGCTTGAGTGGCCTAAGTAACCCTACCCTAACTTCCCAGTTATTCCAGCTATTTTAGGGAAAATTCTCTTCATCTGTGATGTATATTGGCTTTGAATGAGTGCAGAGGACTTTCTGTCTTACTTTTGCTAGACTACTGTATTTGTTCACTAAGTCCACCTCTGTGACAGGTAAACTTTCATTATCATTTCCAAGTGTGAGCAGTTGTAGATAAAAGTCCACGTAATTTTTGAAAGCCTGATAATCTCTGGCCCTTTACAAAGAGAACAAGCAGACAATTGCAGTAGCAAGAAATGCAGAGAACAATGGCAAGGGTAGAAAAAGTCAGCTTTAAATAAAAAAATCCATCTCCATGCTTCTGTTCCGCTGGGAAGAGTTTGACCTTTTTCAAATCAGTGCACCCTTTTGGATATAAACATAGCATTTGATGCTCCTTAATTAGCAGCGCAGGGGTAAATTCTAACTCAAGGAATCCATTATATCAGCTTCTGCAATATCCTAAAGAGATTCAGGGAGCTGGGATCTATGAGATCCCAAGGAACAATACACAGAATTCCTACTGTATTAAGATTCAGACTGTGGAGCATTACTTCAAAGAAATAACTAGTTAGTTACAGCTCCAAGCCCCCCCCCTTTCCAAAAGGATGCTTGTTTGCCATTGTAAAGTACCAACCATGTAAAGTACCACCCCCATGCTCCTTAAAGTACCGAACCACTGCACCCCATGCCTCTGGTCTACTACACCTCTGCCCTTACCTGGTTCCTAGATATTGGTACTGTAAATGCTAAAGCTCAGTAAAATCAACTTTAGCCAAGACTTTTTCTCTCTGTGGAAAATTTCTCAGTGCTCAGAAAAGGGGTGTTCATAGTGAATTGCACCTAGGAAGCACACCTTGTTAGTGACATGTTGTCCAACTAATGAAGTTTTCCTACAGCAATAATGTTCCTAATATTTTGCAAATTAGCCTACTTTGTATCTCTGTTTGAATTCAGATCCCAGCAAGGCAGGTGGCCTTGATTAGGTTATCTCAACCTTAGCTTCCCATCTGTAGATTGGTAATGGCCTCACTTTCAAGTTGACTTTCAAGGCAACTAACACAAGGATTATGAAACATAATTGAAACAAATAAAATGTGTTGTTTTAACTGTTGTTAATGTGCAATATTAATCATTATTGTTCATTTAATTAAACTATTACTAATTGATGTAATAACCTATAACTATTATTATAGATTAATTTGTAATACCAGTACTAAGGAGTTTGTAACAGGAATAGATTTTAGCAATGATACTTTGAGCTAGTTTTATTCTGTATTCAACATGAATTTCAGTATGTACTATTCTTATTCATTATGTTCGCAATACCTGGATTTAAGTCCCTTTACTCACTGACATATTATGTGTGCTCAAGTCCCAATGGCCAGAAGGCATTTGACACGTTTAATGATCAACCATGGCATGATGCTCTGTAATAGCAAAATGGGATTTTGTGTATTCTATGTGACTTTAATTGCATTACTCTTACGTCTGCCACCTGTAGGGAGTTTATTGATCACTTGTGATGCTGCAGTGTTAATGAACTCTACTGTAGGACTTGATTTGTTTGCCTATTCTTCTGGGCACTGATATCGTAATACATTTTGAAATTCAGTTCCTCAAAACACCTCTAGTTTATGAATGTGGGATATTGTGCTTCTGTATTCATGATTCAAAATGCCCGGAAATTGTCCAATATTGCTGCACAATATTATGCCCACATTGCCAGCAGGAAAAAGGATGGCAAGCTTTACATAGCAAAGGCCAGTTTGAATATTGACAACACCAAGGTCAGCAGTGAAGGTGGTCTACACAGAATACCCTCTTGTGCTCGCTGCCATTCACAAAGAGACACCAAGGAAGGAGAGATTGCTGAAGCTGACTCCTTTTTTAACCACTTCTCTCCCAAACACAAAGCAATTGCCAGGGCTGGTTTTCAACAAGTTCTCTAGGTATCAATTGCTTGGAAAATATGGATGGTCATCAACAGCTGTGATGAAACCTTTGCCTGTGGGGGACCAATTGATAGGGTTTTATTTATGGAGAGAGGTGGCTTTGACTTCAGATTTCAGCTCCTGGTTTTTGCAGATTCAGAATATGGAGGTCTTACTTCTTTCTTCCCATCTACATTAAGAACTTCCCTGTTTTTTGATGAAGCACGATACCAGCTAAACTTGATCTTTGGTGCTGCTCTTAATTTTGAAGCTGAAATGCTGTCAATATTTCCAACACAAGATGACTCATAAATTCTGGTATTAAGGAAGAGGCTAGGAAAATAGTTGTCACTATTTGATGTTTCATTCATCTCAGGATCATGAGAGCATATAATCTCTGATCCAGCTGTCTACCTCTTTGATGGCAGCAATACCTCCTGAGCCTTGCAGACCTCTCAGTCCATGGCATCCATCCAACAATCCTCTCCTGCTTCACTCTCCTCCTTAAATTCAAGTCCCACCATGACTACACGTGTGGCCTCAAGAATGTTGTCCATCTCTCCTTCACCAATGCCCCAGGCTACAGGTGAACTGCAGGTAGAGAATCCAGTCCTTGTTGTCCAAGAGGCAAGGAGCCCACTCTTGTGGCTGTGGGGAAGGGACCCTCACTGGTCCAGCAAGGTCCCTTTGCCTTTTGAAACAAACAAACAGAAAGGAATTATCAAAGATTGTCACTGGAATCCTATTTGTCATGCTTTACTCATTCCATGGATGGTATCAAATACAATACAATAGAATGCAATACAATACAATGCAATACGGTACAATACAATAGAATGAAAGAAAATGAAATGACATTTACAATTTGGTTCATTTTATATCCCACTGCTCCTCCAAGTTTCTGAAGGCAGCACCCACAGTATTCACAACAACTCTATGAAGTAGATTACAAGGTAATTTAATACTCTTCATAGGTCTCCAATTCACAGCTTTGGAACCACAGTCAGCTAGCAGTTTTCGTAGGACCAAGAAGAGAAATGATTGTCCCAAGGCCAATGAGTGAATCAGTGGCAGAGTTGTGATGTCACCCCTGTTGAAAATAGTGTTTCTTTCTCCTCTGTCCCATGCTCCCCATCTCACACCACAGATTTGCACTCAAGGCCTCACCCTAGGCAACCCCATGGGACACTGCTGCAATCACTAGGACAGTTTGGTCAAAAGACTCCTGGATATCACTGGCAGAGAACATGGCTGTTACCACTTCGCTCTATGTCTCTGCCACACCAATGACAAGGTGAAAGATTTGAGGGGGTTTTCACTACATTAGAGAATGGTCTCTTCCTGTTGCCTTCCATCATGCCCAACATTACTGTCTTTTTCTAGAAAATCCTGTCTTCCCATGATGTGTCCAAATTAGGACAGCCTCAGCTTCAAGATTTTTGCCTCCAGAGATAGTTCAGGCTTGATTTGATCTAGGATTCACTTGTTCATCTTTCTCGCAATCCAGGGTATCCACAAAGCTCTTCTCCAACACCATATTTCAGGCATTTTTTTCCTATCAGTTTTCTTCACAGTCCAGCTTCCACACCTGTGCATGGTAACTGGGAATACATTGGTATGGATGATCTTGGCATGCATCTCCAATGACGCATCCTTACCAGAATGTAAGGGGAAGCAGATGCTTGTGAGCCATTGTTCTTTCTGGCAAACATCTACTGAACATAGTCCAGAGTTATAAAATTGACTGATTTTATGTTTGAAAGGAGTGGCTTGACTTTTGAGGATTTCCATGGCTACAGGATGGATTTGCTTGAAATTTAAAAAAAAAAGGAGGGAAGACTAAGGTAATTGATGTCCTTTTAAGATAGAAACATTAGTTGTTTGAAATATATTTCAGCAATTTCTTACCTGGTACAGAAAATGGTCACTTGTATCTGAACCGGGGAGGGAGAATCACTTCTATATTTTAAAAAAAGCATTACTTTAAAACTATTTGACCAAATATCACCAAGTCTGGTACAGAGTAACATCAGAATGTCTACCCCTGTTGTGCAAAACATGATGCTGAGTTGAAGGCCAGTTTCAAAGATACAATTTTTCATTTGGGCTGCCTCCATTTTTGGAATTGCCTCATAGAATGTGGATTTGCTCTGCTGCTCATCATTATAAGTCACCATAGATTTGACTCCAAGGAGAATATATAGCTGTACTCATAGCAAGGATGAAGGGTTTGTGTGTGTACATGTCCATGCATGTATCCATTCTGTTTTTCTAGTGTGTTTAAATAGAGATGGGCACAAACTGTGGTTCAGCGAGCACACTTCCCTCTTCAGTGTCCTTGGATGATTGCTGTAACGTTAGCTGGCCACTCTGAGGTCACCTCCTACTAAGGCCTCTCAGAATGCCCACCACGCTACTACACACTCTTGCTGCCACCAACCTTTCCTTTAAATGAAAAGGACAAGGGTTTCTTTCAAAAACAAAAACTGGTTTATTGATTACAAAATAAAATAGGTAAATCACATGAAGATAATCAAGGTGTAAATCACTGCTACTTAGTTAAATCAATCACATAGATTTTCCCTCACTGACACTCAGGCACGCAGGCCTCTTTCTCGCCTCCATTTTTGGAATTGCCTCATAGAATGTGGATTTGCTCTGCTGCTCATCATTATAAGTCACCATAGATTTGACTCCAAGGAGAATATATAGCTGTACTCATAGCAAGGATGAAGGGTTTGTGTGTGTACATGTCCATGCATGTATCCATTCTGTTTTTCTAGTGTTTTTGAATAGAGATGGGCACAAACCGTGG